GTGTGTGTGTGTGTGTGTGTGTGTGTGGTGGGAGGTGGGAGGTGGCAGCGGTCTTGGCTAGGCATGATGGGGACTGCAGGGGAAGGCGCCGGGGGTGAGAAGCAGAATTCAAGACCGCGCCAGGAAGTCGAACTGGTTGAATTGAAGCGTTTTAATTGAATTAGCCACCACCCGATCATCAAGGCAACCCCACACGTCTTGCCTTGGTCCACCGCGCAGGGCGGCTTTCGGAGAAGCGCCTCAGATGGAGCTTTTTCTCGGTCATTTCCCTTTGCCCCTTTACGGATCTTCTGTACATCGGGGTGCCCAACCTTGGTAACTTTACTTGTGGACATCAACTCCCAGAATTCCCCACGGCTGGCTGGGGAATTCTGGGAGCTGGTCCACAGCAAGCTTAAAAGTTGCCAAACTCCGACACCCCCCAGCTGTCCATCCTCTGGCTTTCCTCTACACTTCAAGAAGCATTCTCTAACCGGGAGCTCTCCCGAGGGGTGGGGGGGACGGAGAATATCCTTGCCCATCGTCCCCAGCAGAGGGATAATTTAAGAATGAGGCAGCCGAAGGGCGCCAAGAAGGACCAAACGGTTTTCACTCGAGCTGTATCACCCTTTGCAGAGTTATCCCTGAAGAAATTTGAACCCCCAATGAAGCAAATCCGGTTTGACCTCTTCAGAGGAAAGGTGTTACCTGCACTAATCACTCTTCCAGGTTAACAAAGGAAATCAACTTCATTTAATGTAAGAGAGCCGGCTTCCAAGTTTCCACACTTAAGAATAAGGTTTGCTTGTATTACGGTCGCAAGGGGATTCTAAGGGGTGATCGGGAAAGTTTGCGATCAGCTTTAAAAACGGGGAGGGGTGGGGCAGGGGCCGTGGTGGATGCCATTTTGACTTTTTAAAAACAACAACAACAACCACATGGCGAGAACATCCCTGAGGGATTGGGAAGATTCTTCGTCAGGAATGGTGTGGAGACTCCCCAGATATTGGCTGAGGTTCATGATGGTTCAACCATAGCAACAATAGAGCAAACAATAGATACAAACTCAAGGTTAATAGCACCAGACTTGATTGCAGGAAATACGACTTCAGCAACAGAGTGGTCAATGTCTGGAATACTCTACCTGGCTCTGTGGTTTCTTCCCCAAACCCCAAAACTTTAACCTTAGACTGTCTACTATTGACCTCACCCCTTTCCTAAGAGGTCTGTAGGGGGCGTGCATAAGCGCACCAATGTGCCTACCGTCCCTGTCCTATTTCTTTTATTTTTCTTATATGTATCCATGTATTCATAACCATGTTTTTACTTATACCTATTATCTTGTAAGCAATTGACAAATGAAATAAAATAATAAAAAAAATGGTAGGAGTCCAAAAATTGCGATGGTCGTGTTCCCCATCCTTGCTCCAAGTGCTTTTTTCCCCCTGCTCTTTGTGTAAGAAGAGCAAGAACACATTTGAAATAAATTAATAGATCTTCGATTCAGAGGCTCAGCCTGCGCAGAGTCGCCTCCTCCGCTCCATTAAGAGACTCAAAAGTGCCCTTTGATTATTACTATATGTACTTTGGGGCCACGAGGAGAAGTCCATAATCAACAATACTTCCAGAAAGGACCGCTCGACCACATCTGAGGTCCCACCCTCGGTTCGAAGGCGACCACATCAAAGTGCCGCGTTGATGTTGTTTTAAGTCCGCCAGACAACTTACCACGTGCAAAAGGGAGACTTGAAGGGTTGTGTTTATTTGTGTGTGTGTTTTTCTGAGTGGGTGTACAGAAATAAACCGGTCTAACTGGGGCAAGAGCGTTTGAAAACTGCGGGCTGTTCCCGACCGGGTTTGCCTAGGTGACTAAGCGGAGTGGGGCAGGACAACAAACTCTGCACTCTTTCCTGGGAGCCAAAATCATTCGCTTGGGCGGGCGGGGGGGTTGGACTAGATGACCTACAAGTTGACTCTGATTCTGATTCCAACTCTAATTGTCTGTTATCTATATTAAAGGTAACTGATAAATAAATTCATATTTCTGTGGCGGGCGGACGGGGTGGGAGGGGGAGGTCAGGATCCGGAATAGGCCAGGAGCTACACGCCTCCCTTGTAAAGGCTGCCCCGGTAAGGACCGGTTGTACTGGAAGCCCGGCTCCGTTCGAGGCTGAAGGGGGCAAAGTTTGAGGAGCGACAGTGTAAGTAGGGAAACTGATGACAATGCGCTTAAGAGACGCGTCGTCGGAATCCCATTACATGATAGCAATAGGGAGCTTTTTCACCCAACCTTCGTGGCAGCTTTCTCCAATTCCGTTGAAAAAACCTTGGACTACAACTCTCATCATCCGGAGTCGCGTCGCACTAAGGCTTTCTGTTCATTTGAGAACCAGAGGTGGCATAGAAGCGGATTCGGGGTGGGGTGGGGAGGGGCAGGGCGGGGCAAGAAACTTTTGCGAGGCGAAAATGAGCCCATTTCTCACCGGGATCCGTGCGATTGAGTTTCCACGCCACACTGGCGGGATCCCTATATTTAAAGATGAGAGAGGAGGCGGAGGGGGGCGGGGGGGGGGAGAAAGGAGGGGTGTTTAGACAATGCCTTTTGAATGCGCTTTCCCAACCTTTCAAAAACATCGTTGATAGTGCCCCTGCCAGCTCTAGTAACCAGATACGGCTGCTATCCGTTTTACATCCCAGTTTTTCTGAGGGAGAAAGAAGATATTTGTTGCTGTTTCTCTCTGTGTGTTGTGTTTGTCTGACCAGTTTTTGAACTAATGGGAAAGCTATTTTTTTTAAAAAAATGTTAACTTTAGGTAGGATTACTTACCAATACATGCGTATATATAATTCTTTCCATAATAAAAATATTTTTTAAACGGTGACCCAAATGCTTAAACTAGCCACTCCCATAAGATCAAATTTTTCACTGACATATTGTGTGTGTGTGTGTGTGTGTGACAGAGAATATGAGAGAGAGAATATGAGAGAGAGAGGGAGAGACAAGGAGTGGCTATATACGTATTGCCTAGGTTTCTATATTTAAATTTTGCATTTGGATTATATTTGTTTCACCTAGGAAGCATGGTTTTTAAGGCCTTCTCCCCATCCCCAGCATGCACTCTCTTTATATGTACACAGTATCTTAAAGTCTTGAATGCCCTTAATTTTAATATTGGTATGCATATATTTTAAGATAGCGCTAGTGGAGAAAATTAAATGGATTGGGAAAGTCATCCACTGCCTCAGGTGTTTATAATAGACATCTACTTCAAAGTAAGGTCCATTGTATTTTCACGTGGGTGGGCTCTTATCTTTCTAGATAAATCAGTATAGGGTTCGGAGTAGAGCCACATTTTCGAATATGTCGGGGCAAATACCGATTAGGGATTATTTGGAGAAAATTGGTTAAAAACCAGTAGTTCTTGTTCGAGATTCAGCATATCAATGGCTTAAAACCGTAATTTTCTTTCTAGGTTTGTATGAGAGATTTAAGTGTTAATAAGCAAACCTTAAAGACGACTCTTTCACAGGGAGTTAGGTAAAAGGCTGAAAGATTAAATCGAATGTAACACCAAAATCCATCTAATTACATCTGTATAACGTGTGTGTGTGTGTGTCTCCCTAGCAAAATGATAAAAAGCGGCTAAAATTGTAGAGCTTGAAGTATTTTCTTTCTGCATTCAAGATAAAAGGAAACGGTTTTTAAATCACCCAAAGCAATCTGTCTGTGAAGTCTTCAAATGTGGGTGTTTGGTTGTTTTGTTTTTCTATCCGCCTCCCGAGCTGGCAGACAAAACCTCTTTCTTGGTGCTTTCTTTTCGTTTCAAAAGTATATTTTTTTTCAAAAAAAAAAAAAAAGTCCCTCGTACATCACTCATCCGACACACTGGGCGAGCGAGGGTAAGGAGAGCGGCTCCCATCCGGCCCCAGTCCCGACTGCTTCCTTGAAGGTACCTATCATCCATCCAGGACGCCTCTGGTTCCTGAGTCTTGGAGGCGGCGTTTGTTTCCTTCGTCTTAGGAAACGGTCCAAGGAAGAGGAAACAAATCAACCCTGGGTTGCTGCGGGGTGGGAGGCTGAACAGGGGCGGGGGAGGGGAGGAGAGTGGGCGATACGGGCATCTGAGACAGACCATCACCTGGCCCACGTTGGGTGCGCGTTGCGCCTGAACCAGTTGAAGTTGCAAACTGTGTCCAAGTGGACAGAGGGGTTTTCTTCCCCGCAACTCGGTGGCAGAGCCGGACGCCTTTTCTCTTTAGGCACGGTCGAAATTTCCCCCTCGTCTCTCTGGGGGGAATTTAAGTGCCCCCCCACTTGCCCGCCCCCAGTTTCCTTTCCTTCTCTCTCTCGTTCTTCCCATCTCCCCCTCCTTCTCTCTCCTCTCTCCCTCTTTCCCTTTCTTTCCTTCCCCCTTTCTCTCACTTCTCTCTTCTCTTCCCTCTTTCCCTTTCTTTCCTTCTCTCTCTCTCTTCTCTCTCCCTTTTTTTCCTTCTCTCTCTCTCTTCTCTCTCCCTCTTTTCCTTTCTTTCCTTCTCTTTCTCTCTTCTCTTTCCCTTTCTTTCCTTCTCTCTCTGTCTTCTCTCTTCTCTCTCCCTCTTTCCCTTTCTTTCCTTCTCTCTCCCCCCCCTCTTCTGGAAACCGGTACCCGGGTCGCAGCTTCTCCTTCTAATTCCAAGAGTTGAGATTTCCTCGGCGTCTTTCAATTCACTCAGATCTAAAACAGATTTGGGTCTTTCGGGGGGCGGGGGGGCGGGCGGGGAGGAGGAGGAGGTAGAAGAGGAGGGGGACGAAATCGACGCTGATTGAAACAAATAAACAAACAAACAGCCTCCCCCGCTTTTGCCCCCCGCGCTCCCAGCCGCAGCCACCAAGGACGCCTAGCCCAGTCAGTCGTCCCCACCGGATCCGGCGCGCCTGTGCAACTTCGGCGGGCTGCCTCCTCTCCAGCTCAGAGCTCCTGAATGGGTCCGGCGGGGCTGTCCTCCGCTCCAAGCTGAGCGCCCCTCGGCCATCATGCACAATGGTGACAACCTGGCTCGTCCTGCTGAGTCTCTTGCAGGCGCCGGGCTTCCTCGGGTTGGCGGCTGCCGAGCTGCCTCCGCCGGTTCCTGCCTGTGCCCGAGATGGAGAAGCGTGCGACCCGCGTTGGCGCAGAGATGCCGGCGGGCGCGGTGGCGTTTACGAGCATCTCGGCGGAGCGCCCCGGCGGAGGAAACTCTACTGCGCCACTAAGTACCACCTTCAGATCCATGCCAACGGCAAAATCAACGGCACCTTGGAGAAGAACAGCGTCTTCAGTGAGTACCCCGGGGGTGGCTCCTCTCTCCCGCCCTGCCCGTCCCTCGCAGCTGGTTTTCGCCCCTTTGCTCTCCCTCTTGAATCGAAGCCGCCGGTGCTTCGTTGGTCCTGATTTCCGAGGAAGCAGCATTTCTGTCGTCCTCCGATGCCTCCAATCCAGGGCTGAAACGCCGTTCATTTATTTCATACACATCCCGAAGGAAGGAAGGAAGGAAGGAAGGAAGGAAGGAAGGAAGGAAGGAAGGAAGGAAGGAAG